GGAACCAACTCCATGGCACATAACAACAATATAACATAAGCTTTGGTAGCATAGTGGTTACGAATCGGTTTGCAAACCTCAGGGTCAGCAGTTCTAAACTACCAACTGTTCCGTGGGAAAAAAATGAGGCTTTCTGCTCCCGTAAAGATTTACAACCTCAGAAACCCTGTACAGGGTCACTATTAGTCAGAACCAACACCACGGCACATAACCACGACCACATAAGCTTAAAGGTTAGCAGTTTGAAACCACCTGCAGGTACTGTGGAATAAAGGTCTGACGATCTGCTTCCATGAAGATTATTGCTAAGAAACCCAATGGAGCACAGTTCTGCTCTGTAACACAACATGGTTGGGTGGTATGAGTTGAAACTAACTCAATGGTAATGGACATAGGTTTTTTTATTTGTTTGCTTGCTTCTCGGTTTTAACACATAACACTAAACAAAAACAAGCAAGACCACACTATTAACTCTAACAGAAGCAAAAAGTTTTACAAGAAAATAAATGAAAGCACAGTACCTAATGTGGTTTACATAGTAAATAAGGTTTACATGGTCTCATGAATATACATGTTAACTACTACTGATCTAACCAAAAATTATGATCATACTAGGTCAGGAGGGTATATGGAAAGGAAGTTGGGGGTGATAGGCATTGGAGGGTAGAAAAGCTCACCTCAACTTTCCTATTAGAAAGTCAACAGACTTAAACTGGGTGGGGGGGAGGGAATATCAAGAACTCGCATTATACAGGGCTTCTTAAAAAAACTGGGACAAACGCTAAAAGAAAAAGTTAAAAAAATTATCTCTGGATAGAGTGAACTGAAGGTGGTGGGGCAAATAACTGCTGTTTGTTATTCATTTCTTTTTCATTTATTTTGTTAACGCTGATCTAACTACTTGATAGTCTAAGTTGTGAAACTGTAAAGCTTAAAATACATTTAAAATTTGTATTTAAAAATAAAAGACTAGTGCTGAGAACAGAAATGAGAACTGGCATTAAGGATCAGTGACTACTGCGCATATATATAAATGGCTGACATCATGGGGAATGGGAGAGATAAATGGCAGAACCAAAGAGGGAGTGCAGAATAAAACCCTGGTCATAAACATGCAAACTGGTGACCACAGTGACAACAGACAGCAACAAGAAAAAAGAGTGGTCAGGGAAGCTGGGATGGGCAGGTACAGAGGAAAGGAGACAAAGCATCCATAATTCAAGAAGGAAACATCCTTGTTAATTATCAGTCTGTTCTGCTCTTTTCTTGACTAGAGACTTCTTGCTATACACATCAGCCACTTGCTCTGAACTCTGCTGTAGTACTAAGTATGCTCTACTTCTCGTCTTCTTGCCTTCCCCTTAGGACCTGGCCTCTTATTACATATACAGTGCGGGTAGGAACACTTAAAGCAGAAGATCCAAATGAAGGCTGGCAGTACTATGTGTCCAAAATCATTATCCACCCTAATTTCAAAGAAACAACTGCAGACATCGCTTTGTTGAAACTGTATTCTTCAGTCACCTTTACATCTCTCGTCCTGCCCATCTGCTTACCCAATATAAAAAAGCATTTGTCAATTCCAGCCTCTTGTTGGGTGGCTGGATGGGGGAGAGTACATGAAAACGCAGGTGAGAAAGTTTATCTTATGTATATACTTTGCGATCTTGTACCTACTTCAAAACATTCACATTCTGGGCATATAACATTATTATGGCAAATATTTTTCAATAAAATCAGATCTACTGATATGACCTATATCATTATATATACTTAAAAACATTATGGCATTCAGGAGAATAGTTAATCTTTTAGTCCAGAAACAGAGGACCCTAGAACCATCAAGAGAGAAGAGCACGAGCGGAATATGGGACCCTATCCAGAGAAGCAGTGACACCAGAGATGGAGGCAGAGATGGGGACATAGAGAGGGAGCAACTGAGGACTCTAGAATCATGGAAAGAGAAACACTGCTGGATGTGTCCTTTGGTTGTTTTAAATTATTATATATT